CTCCATCAGTGGTATTTTTACTCCTTGGCTCCTGATAATTTTCCCTCTTTCTGTCACAGAAAGGCGTCTTGCTGCTAATGACTTAATAAGAGGCTCCATCAGAAATTCAATCCCAGTCAATCTGCCGGCGTTGGCGGCGTTGGCGGCGGCCATGTTGGAGGAGCAGACGTGTGAGCGTGACATCACACTGTTCCTGCTCCTGCGACGCTCATCAGACATACCATAATAGTCCTGTAGTACATGTGGCTCACAGTGATGCATGCACGGTCTGTGGATGAAGTCAGTACTGCGTCCTGACCCTGACCCTCGCTCCGGTGTTTGGACCACCAACCTCATTCTTCAAGGTCCAGTTCCACCTTAACGAGGTGACAGACTGGTCTTAACGACATACAGTACTAGTTAACGACATACAGTACTAGTCAACGACATACAGTACTAGTCAACGACATACATCTACATTCATCTTCATCTTCATCATCATCTTCATCATCTTCACTGAACTTTTGTCTTTTGTCACTCATTAATTATTAGTTTCTTCAGCCACACGTTATTAGAGGATGAAAAAAAACAATGTGTTGTTTAGAGGAATAACACACACACGCACACGCACACACACACTCACACACACGCACACACACACACACACACCAACCATAGATGTGTGAAGCAGGAAAAGGCTCACAGTGAAAATCACACAGAGACCTCAGCGTGTGTGTGTGTGTGTGTGTGTGTGTGTGTGTGTGCTGCTCTTCTCCCAGCTCTCACACACACACACACATCATGTTGTTACTTCAACATTCCCCCCCCTCCTCCCCCCCCTCACCTCCTCTGTGACTCTCTGTGGTTTCTTCTCCCAGCTTCCTCCTCACTCCTGTGTTCTTTACAAGTTCGCCCCCTCCCTGACATCTTGTTTCTTGCACCTCTTGACTCCCCCCTCACCCCTCACCCTCCCATCGACCTCCCACCTCTCCTCATCCCTGGGTTCTTGTCAGTGTTAGAGTTCTTCACTGGTGTCGTGTTCCTTTACAGAACTCCCAATGACCGTCCTTCAAGGCTAACGTTGATGTCAGTGTGTCTGCTGACCTCTGACCTCTGGACTCCAGTTCACTCCTGAAAATGTGTTTGTGGACTTTCAAGAATGTCTCGATAACATACCTATCACGATACCATACCTATCACCATACCATACCTATCACCATACCATACCTATCACCATACCATACCTATCACCATACCATACCTATCACCATACCATACCTATCACCATACCATACCTGTCATGATACCATATACTGTGATATTACAGTCTACTGGT